AAAAATTTATCAAAAGCTATCAAAGTTTGGCGTTTTTGGTAAGTGAATCAATAATAAAATTTGTTAAGAAACTTGATTATTACGCTACATATTCGACAATTATCCATCGATTAGACTCACTAAACATCGAGGATACAAAAATCCGGCTTTGCTTTTGTTCCGAATGAGTCAGCAAACTGAATTGTCCGATCTGGAAATTGCAGATGCAAACTTATTTTTCCTGGTCAATTATTGCGTCGAAACCACTGTTAGATTTCCACGAAACCATTAATTTTCGCTGTTGCGCCAACATCAAATTATCCCTATTAGAGTAACGGTTGCCCTATCTTTTTAACACGACCGGTGGCAATGTTTTTTTTTTTTCGAAAGATTTGCAGATCCACGATCACGAAAACCTTGAGTTCGTAGCGCCGGGTTAGTGGCCCCCCTATTTTCAATGTTGCCACATACTGGAACCATGGTTCTGGTACCAATTTTGATTTATTTCAAAGGGCTTTCTATCCAATTAGTCCAGTTCCAACTCCAAGTCGTTATTTTTCCAGCAGCCTTTAGGTTAGTTGTAATTTTGACAAAATCCAGCAACTTATCTTTCAACCCAATTTGATGTTATTTGGTCATAGATAAGGACATATTTCGTGAAGGCTTTAAGTTCCTAAAAATATCTTCCTTTCGCCAATCAGATCCAAGTGGAGGGTAATTAGCCGCAAATGTTGATTAAAAACAGTGAGGCTCCAACATGAATTAGACAACACTGGGAACATTTCATTATTCTACGGTCAGAGTTCAGATTCTTTTATTTATGAGAATCGTGACTGCCTTTGCAGACGGCTCAACAGCTATTGGTCAGCTCTAGGCTAGTGAGGAAGAAGCAGGATTTTCACATGGAGTTGCAAAAAAGTGCACCCAATGAGAATCTTGTCCAAGCTAAAACCCTTTGCTACATTAAATAGTTGCTAAACTAGAAAAACTTGTCTAAGATGAGTTTTTAGATCCAAAACTAGAAATAGCTCAGAGACCAGTTGCTCAGAAGGGTTAGATTTTCATGGCAATTGATTGAAACTGTTTATTTCTTTATCGTCTTTCGCCTTGTATCTTGTTCAATGTAGACGTTCCACGTAGACGCTTCCACAATAGCATTCAGAAAATAAGTAACCAATTGGACTAAATAGTAGTTATCCCTACAGGATTTTTAGAAATTCATCAATTACTAAACAATTTTTCTAGTGATTGCTACGCAAAATTCCAAAATTCATCGATCATTAGTCATAGAATTAATTGCCCTGATAGTCAACATCCTAAAGTGGCAGTACGGAGACCATTTTATCAATATTTAAGTTTTTTTGGACTCTACTTAATTATGATGCAGATATTTATCAAGAACAAAAGAATCAAACCAAACACAATTTGTCATAGTTATTTAAATGAATACTTAATAACGCCACTGCCAATTCGTAAAAAACCAACAGCCCACTGTATGTTGATTAATGTGTCGCCGACAACTTCACTCGGTAAATGTTATTGTTAAACGTATTTATAAACAAATTAGCGGGCATTGCAAAATCGTTACGCCTACTTTATGGACATTTCACTGTATGAAACGGTAGGGCACAAAGACGCATTGTAAGTGTGCCATTTTGCAACTTTGCGAAGCATTTTTGAACGAGAAATTGGAAAAATTGAAAACCTGTTGTGCAGAAAACAAGACTTTTTTGAGCTCATCAGAAATGGCACAGAAGAATTGTGAAAATGAAGCACTTTTTTTAAAAAGGAGCTAACAAAAATGTGCATTTTCCTATTATTTCACAGGAATTGATCAAGTCCAAAGTTCAGGACGAGCATTCTGAACTTGTAGCAATTCCACTTATCAATTTCTTGCCCGCAATTCAAAAAACGTCCCTTAAGACCACCCGTACAATTAGCAAGCGTCAAATTAATCGAACTGATTTAAACAAGCATTACTGAGAAATCAGACCGATTTGAGTTGAAAGGATGCCGTTGATGCATCGTTAGTTAAATGAATTCGCTCGACGTGTTTCAGTGATAGTGGAGGATAAATCATTGCAGCATCTTTCCCTTCAACAATTGGCCGCGAGCGCATTCAAAATGCAAATCGAGAAACGTAATACCCGAAGATGCAACATGTCAGAACTACTTTCGATGAATATTAATAGGCTGGTTATTAGTTGTAGACTCCACAAATAAAATAGTTTTTTTTTCTCGCTATTTTTTGTCTGATGAAGCGAATTGTGAAGGTGATTGAAGCTTTTCTCTATCTTGCATCAACTACTTTGATAATGTTTGGTTTAGAAAATAGACTCTTGGTTATTTGCTCGATCTTCCACTCTTCTTGTTCGTTCTTTAATTAATTGCTGAGTTTCCTGACCTAGTTTGTGGTTTGCTGGTTTATTTTCACCCTCTATTCTTTTATTTTCAGGTCTTATCAGCTTCCTTCTTTCTTTTTGTATGGAAATTGGACTTTACCAGGCCGATCTCGGTCGTTGTGGTTTTTTATAATTCGTGTTCATTAGATACAGATTTCTTTAGCTAACATTATTTATCACCATTTTTCTTCTGCTATTTCTTATTCTTCGTCCAAATGGTCTTATTCCTGCCTTGTTGGAGTTTCCTAGTATTCCTACTTTCGCGTTGTGCATTTTGTGTTGTTTTTCTTCAACGCTTAGTTAATGTTTTCCATCTTTCCATTTCTTCTTCTATGCCATTTGTTCAGATTTGCATCTTGTTTATTTTTATGTCTACAGCAATGACTCTATGAATAACATAGGAAGTAAGTATGGACTACGTTTGCTTAACCCGACGACCATTAAAACAAAAACAAAGCAAAAACATGCCTGTCTCGAATAAATTCGATAGCAAATCCGCGGAAGAACTAACTAGTCTTAGGGAAGATCATCAAGCTGAAGCTTCCAGCTTCAAATGAACAAAGTTTGCTACCGCTTCCTGTTCATTAACATCTTACATGTGCAATATCCTTCAATAATTCAACATCCCCGCCTCCTTATATACACACGGAAGCCTAAATATTTGGTTTTATATAAGCAGTTTATAGGCCGAAAACATTCAAGTGCGTTTTTCGTGAGACCGTTTCGTGTATTTTTCCTGTTTACTCAGTTTTGTTTATGTTGCCCACCAAAGATAAAACGGGAATTATTCATTTAACATTCTCAATAAATGATCGCAGCCAGATGCCAAGACAATTCCAATTAATCTCCTCCATTGAAAATGGAAATTTCAAACAACAGTACTTGAAGAAAAATGCCTAGTTTTCAGGCAGTTTGACTAAAAACCACATAGAAAAACCACGCAAAGCAGAGTAGAGTGTGCTTATTTAACAACCTTGTGTAGATGAAATTTAAATTGATTTCCTGTTGCTGCTCATCCGAATGTGACACTAACAATGACTCGTACCATGGTTTAAAGTTCCCATGAAGGTATACATATGGGTTCTGGTTTTAGGCCTGGTTTTTACCGAGCTTTTTCATGTTTGCAGTACTGGTTATATTTCGGCAGTTCAACTTTTCATATATACGGCACATTAAGTTCAAGTTAACAACCAAAATTACGTTGTTAATGGCTTATTAGCAGCAGCCAAACTAACTAGAATATGCAACTTTTTGTCAAAGAAACCTAAATGATTTTCTGTAGTTTATTTCACAAAAAGATCCGTGGAGCATTTCACAGATTTAACGAAAATTATAAGTTTTTGATACTGTTCAGGTGGATTCGATCCAGATAATTAAAATCGTGACTGAGATATGGACCAATCGACAAATTCCAAGTACAATTGAATGAAAATCTGTGGCAGATTTTATCGCGTTTGGCTCACTTAGCGTTTGAACGATTATCGGCCGCAATCACAAGTAATAAAAGCACGCTATTTGCATCTTAAAGCTCAAACACTTCGATTGTAACCATAATGAATACCAAGTATCCAACTACGGCCTATTTGAATATTTCATTTACACCTCTAATTGACATAGTGTATGGCACTTAACATATTGCACGACGCTCGAGACTGTTATAGTAGGTACTTCCTCTGGAGTTATTCAAATGGAAGATGTTCAACTAGACAAATTAAAATCAGGGAATGGAAAGTGTCGCTAGCAACAGCTTCATTAACGGTTGCTCTTAACAGCGCCTAAAAAGTGAAAAGGCAAAATATTCGCAAACATTGCGCCTCTGCACTTTATTTTAAACTCATTACGATTGTCATTGTATAGTTAATTGCTAATTAATTCAATGAGCTAGTTTTTAGCGAAGCTCTGCGTACTATCCATGTTTCTAGAATTTAAAATGCTAATTGATTTGATTGCGACTTACACAAAACAGTACACTTTAGGGTAATTGTATTTCGGCATTTGTGGATCGCCAGCTGCTAAATCAACTAGGAACGAAGTAATTAAATCTATTAAGACTAGCGGACTTTGGAAGAATAATGGAAATTTTATTTAAAGTGCGCTCATTAGTGACAAATGGCTTGGCCAATTTGCGCAGTTGTTGAAAGTTTTGGCAATTTGCGAATTCGGGTGCACACTTTAATAAATCATTTAATTTGGATAAATTACTCTAGAGGCCAATTAATCAATTTATACGCTGATTATACGAGATTTGAATGGATGAGTCTCTATTAGTTTATTAATTCCTAATAATCCAGGGTGATTTATTATTTTATCCCATTGTGCCTACGTGCAGCCATTCCCTTGTTCCTATTAAATGCCAGTTGAGTATAAAAACCTTAAAAATCCCGATGGAATATTTTTTTTAACTGCACAAATGAAAACCAAAAACAATCAACAGTGGATAGTGCTTTTGCATCGTAGCTTTCAGGCGCTTATAAACAAATTTAAAATTAGTTACCTACGAAAAGAACATAAAAATGAAAATAAATTAACATCTAACTGTTTTTTAGCGAACGCCAGTAAACTTCTTGATGTTAACAAAATGCGCAAAGAACAGTTGAATAATTTTTTTCCCATACTCACTCAGGCTTCTTTTGTTTGCCAAAAAGCCGTCATATAATCCAACTAGATGCACAATGTAAAAACTCACTTCCGACACCTCTTTGTTTTGTAAACAAACGGAAAAAGAGCGTCGCACGTGCTTGTAAAACCGATTGTGAGCGTTTTATATGGCGCACCTTTACCAACAGTGCAGATGCGACTGGCGTCTTGTTCAACTTCACGCTTCACCATCACCACGAACCAGAACGATGGGGTAGATGGAACTGGAGGAACGGTTTGTTTATCAGCACCAACTTTTCTAGGGCAACTTTTATGTTCGAAGTTCCCTCGAACGATTTACGGAAGAAATAAAGCAGAAATTCGTTAGTTTTTTTGCTTACTGAAAATTGACTGGAAAATATGCTTCATAAAGTCCTCCATGGAGTGCTAAGAACTTCTATAGATAAAGACTAGCGACCCTCAGATTGGTCTCAATCTCGTTTTCTTGCTATGAAAATGGTATATATTTAAGGGCATTTTCAGCAATTTCGGCACAAGATAGAGAAGATAGAAAAGAGGATATGGACAGTTCTGTTGCAAGTGATAACTTTCAATGTTCCTAAACGTGGCATCGCCGATGTTTCTTCTTTGCGATTCTGTTTTCGAAAAATTATTCTTTCCTTGTTTGCCTTGTCAATTCCTCTACTAATGCTGACACTATAAGTGTGACAATATTTTTAGTTTTTGCGAAAAAATAGCTAATGCAGATTTGTTCTGTTGTTGATTGATAAACGCCGAAGCTGTACATGTATGGTTTTTGCACTCAATAAATTGTCTTGGATGAAGGAAGCAACGATCGAGAACTCTGACAAACTGTTCAAAATGAGTCAACATGTTCGCTTATTTTGGGCCCGAGCAGCCCAGCGTGATTTCTGTGAAGTCGGTTTTCTTCCGATGAACATCGCGTATCGTTTGAGAAATTTTGAGAAAATTGATATTTTTTTAGATAGTGCCGTCTAAATGTTGACTTAAAACGCTCTTCAGCATGCATCTTTGTGTCTTATACAATATAAAGCAGATCCGATCGGTTACAAATCGAAGCATATGAAATATTTATTCCCGATTTGTTGCGATGCATTTTTCAGACAAAATGATAGCAATAAATCGTCAGTTCGCTTTGTCTGGGTTGTAGAATAAAGCCGCTCAAATTGGATCTTAGCCTTTGGCTATTTTGGCCGAAAATTAAATAGCGTGTATATTTCTAAGCTCGTTGAGTTCTCATTTTTTGCGTTGAAAATTATATACAATTTGAGGCATTTTAGCGATTTTAGTTGTCGAAAAAAACTATAGGAAAGAGAGAGGAATATGAACATTTTGATTGCAAATGATAATTTTCAATGTTCTTAAACGGAATTTCCGATTTTTCTTTTTCGTGATCTAATTTGTCCTAAATTCTACTTTTCTGGTTGCCTTTGATGATGCGTAAACTGACGCAATGGTTTATGGGAAAAAATTGTATAAAAGTTAAGGCAGTTTAA